GGGTCAACAATGCTGTGTGACCTTGAGGAAACTGCATCCCCTCTCTGGGCCCCACATTCTTCCCAGTTGGAAGTCAGGGAGGGCCAACAGGGCCGTTGCCTTGAAGAAAGAAATCGTACCAACCCTGCCAGCCTACTCAGGAAGCCCCAGCGGAGAATGAGCATCTGGGAAGGCCCAGGTCTCAGAAATTCCATCTCCGGTCCAGGGAGCCTGCAGGCAGCCCCTTTATCCTCAGGATGGAAATGAGGCAGAGCCCGACGAAAGCCTGACTCCAGGTGGGTGTCACCCCTGTGAGGCAGCTTCCGGATTTTTGTTCGCTTTTCCTTTAAGAAGGAGAATTTGTTGCCAGTCATATCTCTAGCTGTAAATGTGCCCGCCCACGAGTGCTCAAGAATTGGAGACTCTGATCCCAAGAAAGGTGTCCCCTTCAGGCTAGCTGGAAAGGACCAGATGGGAGCCTGCTGAGCTCATAAAGCCACCAAGGCCCCAGTGGGCTGCTTAGCACAGAGCTGCACCTGGCCAGGCCCCCACAGGAGTCCAGGACTCCGAGGGCCCTGAGGCCCAGCAGGAGGGGAGGCATGGCCTCGAGGATGCAGATGGGGCTGCGTCTCTGCAGACACCTTCATCGGAGACCCCCAAGGAGTGTGGGAGAGGCCGACTCCCAGGCACCACGCAGATTCACCGAACGTGCATCTCTGGGAGAAGTGGGGCCACACAGATCCGCCTTTTGAACTAGAACCTGCCTCGCACTCACCCAGTCACGAGGTTTGGGGATCCTTACGTTTGACAGTCTTATTCACAGTAGCCAAGAAGTAGGGACCCCCCCCCTTGAAAACATGCTGCTCAGTGACCGAAGCCAGACATGAAGGACCATGGAGTGCGAAATTCCCTTTATAGGAAGTATCCAGAATGGGAGGATCCATAGAGAAAGTAGATGAGTGGTTGACCAGGGCAGGGAGGGGCGGGGGGGGGGGTGCTAGGGAAGGGCTGGGTGGGGGGCGGCCCACGGTAGGGAGCCCTCGGATCCCTTCCCTGTCACTTCCTGCCAGGCTCAGCTCTTCAGGGACGATGGGCTTGCCGAGAAGCCTCCAGAGGGTGGGTGCGTGGGGAAGCGAGGTGAAGGTGGGCTGCCCCCCACCACCCCCCCGGAGTACACATGTCTGACACTCAGCAACTGTCACCCTATGCTTTCTTTCTCTTTCATGGGAGCTGTGTGTGTGGCTGGGTTTCTCCCTCTCACTAGCTCCAGTAAGCCTCTCCCAACAGCCCTTGGGCGGGGTTCTTCTTACCCTGTCTTCTGGTGAGAACAAAGAGGCTGGAGGTCTGCCAGGGCCTGGGGACCCCAGGCACAGCTCCTCAAACAGGACCCCAGGAGCCCAGGGGCGACAGTGGGACTTGGAGCAGACGATGGCTAACTATGGGATTATGCATGTTGTCAGGTGACTTAAATCCTGTAGGTAAACAGCCTGGAAAGCTGGGAGGAGGGTCAGCAGGCTGTGGGCCGGGTTGGGGGCGGGGAGTGGGAGGGTGGAGTGGAGCTGCTTCTACCCGGGAACTTCTAGACCCCCTCCCCCCGCAGCCTCTCGGCCTGCACCTGCCCTCCCTTTGTGGTCATGGATGGCATCCCCGAGGGGTCTGGCGTCAGGTGCAGTCCCACCTCAGGTGCCGGCAACAGACTTCCCAGAACACCCAGGTGGGGCGGTGACCATCTCACCCCCTGACTCAGGAGACAGGAAGCAGGAGGTGGGCCGAGTGTCACTCTCCTCTAGGCTCGAAGCCATCCTGTACCTCAGTACTTAAATAAACTAACATCTATTAAGCCCCTACTATATGCTAGGCACTTGGAAGCACTGGGCCTACATTAGCCTCCAAAAACTGCCAAACAAGGTCTTCTGATTTGGGTCCTGGATTGAGAGGGGGGCTTCAGACCACAAGCCCGCCAAGGCACCCAGACCACCCCCTTTATCAGCCTGCACCCTCACTCCAGGCCACCCAGAATCCAGGCACACCGGCCTCTGTTCCTGGGGAACACTTTGCCTTTCTCACCCCCAGGCCTGCGACGGTGCCAGCAGGGGAAAAGTAACCCACCCAACAGAGACAAGAGGCAGAGCCCAAAGCCAGAGGCCAGAAGAAGCAGGGTTGGGAGGCTTTCTGTGGCACTGAGCCACCCCGGCCACGATGGTCACAAGAAAGGGAGCGAAGGAAAGAAGTACGGACAGAGCAACTCTTCGTTCCAAGCCCGTGTCTGCTTTAGAAGATGCCGATCGCTGTGAGGCCACTTGGGCCCTCCTGCGTCTGTCCCAGGAAGAGACTCCAAGGCCGTGGTGTCCTGGGACACTCCCCAAGTCACCGCGCTGGCCCGCCAGGCTCCAGACCTCAGGAGGAAGGAGCAGCGCTAACCCACCAGCTGGCCCGTCAGCGAGGCTAACTGAGCCTGTATCCCCCACCTCCATCAGGGCCGGGGGTGCACACCAGGAGGGCCAGGTTTGCAGACAAACCAGGGGGGGTCGCTGGCGAAGGACAGAGGTCTAGGGGTGGCAGACGGGTCAGAATGGGATTCGAGGGAAGGGGGTTGTCCGTTCTGCTTCTTGGGCTCCTGTGTCTCACCTCCTACTGGCGAGGGCCTTCTCTGTCAGCTGACAGATGGGGGCTGTTAGGAGGTTCCCAGCCTGCCAACTGCTGTGGCTGCTCCAAAAATGTGGGCCAGAACAGCCATCTTTGAACCCACTGGGGACAGAAGGCACTCGAGGCCACAAGCCCAGCACTGTCCCACAGGCTATGCTGGTAGCCCTGAGCCCACGCCGCTCAGACCACCCCCCCTGCCGCTCTCAGTGGACAAAGAAGCAGCCCTGTTAGGACTGCCCAGTCCAGAACCTTCTCAGAGACACAGCTGGGCCAGATCAGCCCAGACCCTCCCTCTCCACTTGTAGGGACAGAAAGGAGCCACTGTTTGGCATGTGTGGGCACATAGTGGGCTGTACCCCAGACCAGAGCGTTTCTATCAACATCGGTTAATACCTCTCAGCCCCCGCACCGGCCGGGAGCCAGGAGCAGCAGAGGAAGAGAGCCGTCATTGTCCCCGCCCTGAGGACCTGATATTCTTGGGGACAAACTGGACAGATGGGGAGTGGCTCTTGCCTGGAAGGTTTCTGGCTCATCAGGCTGGCCCCTCTTGTCGGCCAACCCAGCGGCTCAGGGGAGCATTCAGTCACTAGTTGATGATGTCCAGTTACAACTATGAAACTCCAACTGTGTGCCAAGCACTGGGGAAGCACTGAGCACACATGAGCCAGCAAAGACCCTCTTGAGAGGGCATTACGGTTGCCATCCCCGCTTACGGACAAGGCGGCTGAGGCTCCAAGAAGCAACCTGCCCAAGGCCACCCAGATGGCGATGGCACAACCCACCCTGTGTGATGTCAGGTGTGTTTGCCCCTATTCCTGCCCAGCCTACCCGGACAGCTAGGGTCCTCTCAGTCACCCCTGGCTTTCTCTGAGGTCTCTGAGGAAGGCTCCCCCTTCCTGAGAGTGAATAGAGGAGGGGCGCCCGGACAGCTCAGTCAGTTATGAGTCCGATTCTTGGTTCAGCTCAGATCATGATCTCGGGGTCCTGGGACTGAGCCTCACGTGGGCTCCCTGCTCAGCGCAGGGTCTGCTTGTCCCTCTCCCTCTCTTTCTCTCTCTCTCTTCTTCTCAAATAAAAGAATCTCAAAAAATAAAAAAAAAAGAGAAAGTGGGAGGCTGACCCCAGTAGGCTCTGTGGTGCCCAGGAGAGCTGAGGGAAGAGGCTGGAGGAGGCACCTGTCCCTCAGGGAGCCCAGAGGCAGGTGGGCGGTCTGCCTCCAGCCCCAGACCTGGGCCCAGCAGGTGCTCCCGCGTGCCCTTCACTGCATGGGGCAATGCCCCTGGACTTCTCGGACTCGCCGGCATACCTTGCCGTCCTGATGAGCCCCGACACTCCGGAGAAGCTAACAGCAGCAGCCACCGAGCCATCCCCACCCCTGTGCCCGCCCCTACCCCAGCACCTGTGTCCTCACTGCCGACCAAGACAGTCACCCTGGCCATGGTCCAAGGGTGTGCAGTCTGGCCCCTGCCATGTCCTCCACCTCACCTCACACCTCTTGGCCCTCTCACTCCAGCTGGATCCACCCAGGCCTCTTCTGTCACCCTTTGCCTTTGCACCTGCCAGGCCCTCTGGTTGAAGGGTCTCTCTCCGTCAGCCCCCAAAGTACCCGTCTCCTCTCTTGCTTTACCTCAAGCGCCACCTCCTAAGGGAGCCCTCCCTGACTGGTGCTGACTCAACCCCCCTCAGCGCCACACGTTTCTCTGCAGCCCTTGCTGGGGTTAATGCTTTGATTAGTGCTTTGTCTCCTTGTGCGGCCCAGAAGGTACCGGAGGCGAGGGCAGGGTCTCTTCTGCTCACTGTGGTCTCCAGATCCATGCGCTGGCTCCGTGTGCTGGGGCCACTTGGTACGTATTTGCCCCCTGCACAGAGGGGGCGGGATTCGCCCTGCCCACCACATCACAGTGACACTAGGACCAACAGAGCAAACGGATACCCTAAGACTTTACAAAACACCAGCAGTCTTTGCAAAATCTGAACCGGAGGTAGGCTCTAGCTCTAGACCTCGGAGATATGCGCTCCGTGGGCAGCAGACATGCTCCATGCGTAGTTGACCTGCTAAGTGGGGCACATCCTGTCACAGGCACATGGAAGGTATGTGGCATTTTAAGGGCTGGACTGGAGAGCTCAGGGCCCACCCGTGCAAGGGAAGCTTTCCGCTCTCCTTGGATCAGTCTGGGAAGGCTTCTGGGAAGAAGAACCCTGGCTTCCTTGACAATGTCATCAGTGACACAACCAAGAGCTCGGTGGGTGGAGGGAGGGTGATGCTGCAAGCCACAGGGACCCTTCCTGCCCCCACCCGGTAAGCAGATGCCCACCCTGCCACGTGTGAGCACAGCTCTGTGGCTCCTGTGGCTCCCGGCCACAGCCCTGTGTACCTGCTCGTCCACTTTATGGGCTATGAGGGTGGCTCCTTCCTCCAGCTCTGCCACGCTGATGGGCCGGACCCGGAGTGCCACCTAGGAGGGAAGGCCAGACCCCTGAGATTAGAAGACAAGGGCCAGGATGGCCAAACAGAAGCACGAGAGGACCCCAGGATTCCCCTGAGCAAGGCTCCTGGGTTCTCCCCTGTGTGACATCCCAGGCATCCTTGGTCTTAAGGAAAACTCAGCGGTTCAAGGCCACCGCCCTGGTGGAGGGGAGCAGGTCCACGGCATACAGGCTCCCTCTGAGTGTATGAATTTCCCCAAGGAGCCGGGCCTCCGGGAGAGTCCCAGGGGAGAGAGTGGTCTGCTTCTCCAGCCTGCATCAGTCACACGCCCCAATTATGCACTTGCTGCTCCCCAGGGCTTTGAACCTGGAGACTTGGCACTGGAACAGCCCGTGTGTGCATCTGTGAATGATGCACGGCTCCTGAAGCTGCGGGCCTGGCTGGAGGCAGGACGGGGCTGCACCTTGACTTCCTAAACAACCCTTGACTGCATTCCTACCCGGCACAGGTATTGGAGAGGTGCTCCCGCCTCTCTCCATTCTCCAGCTGGTAAGAGCTGGTGGGTCTTCGTCCTGGGCATAGGTCTCCCCAAAGAACAAGGGGGTGCATTTCTTTTGCAGACCAAGGGGAAATGCCTGCTGAAAGTATGGGCATCACTGATGGACCCTCATGCCGGGTAAGAACATCGCTCTCTGAGGGACCTCTGCGGACTGTCAGATCATCTTTACCGGCCTCCTGGGCCCAGCCCCACAGGTGGGAGAGCGAGGACCTGCCATCCCTGTCCTGTGCCGGGACAAGCATGGAGCCCAGTGTGGGGCTTGAACTCACAACCGTGAGATCGAGACAAAGGGCTGAGATGCAGAGTAGATCCTTCAGTGACTGAGCCACACAGGCGTCCCCAGGGGTCTGTCTTCAGCCTCTACTTGCCCCAGAGGCCCCCAATCACACCCCCTCATCTGTCCCAGCCCCCAGAGCTCAGGGAGGGGCTGCATCTTGGTTGCTTCCAACACTTCTCTGGAATAACGGACAGCATCTGGGTTGAAACCCAGTAACCAGCTGTTCCCAACCCCATGCCAGCAACTCTGGCTCCCTGGGCTCCTGTCTGCCCATCTGTGATTCCCAATCCCTTTAAACTCCCGACCCCACAGCGCCAGGGTAGCTCTGGCTCAGGGAGCTCTGGCTCGCCCTGCCCCCTGGCTTTTCTAGATCAGAGAGCAGTCTCACCCCAGAGACCCATCTACACAAGCTTTAGGGGTGGGAGGGGGTCCCCTGGTGGGAAGGTGTAAGGGGGGAGTGAGGTTGAAGCTAGGCTGACTTTTCAGGGCTCAGCAGGATGGCCAGGATAAGTTCCTTCTTGACATCCAGGACTTGGGGAAAGTTGCTCCGGACAGCCCCATCCCTGACCTTAGCCCGGGTGAGGGGACAGGACAGCTGTGACCGTGGCCAACTCAGAGGCTGGGTCTCTGGGGTCGGGGGTTGCTATGAATGGGGGCAGGGAGGAGGTTGTCGGGGTCTCACCATGAGCTGCTGGTCCTTGGAGTCCCCGCTGTCCTTCATGCTTGCAGCGGATGGAGGGGCTCAGGCCGCGACAACGGGCATGGCCGAGCCGCACCCCCACGGCCGCCGTGGGGTCCCTCGCAGCCTTCCTGCGCCGCCGCCGCTGCCGCCGCGCTGCCTGACAACCCGAAACCAACAACGCGCCCCGGCCAAGGGCGCTGACCGGGAGGCGGGGCAAGGGGAGGGCCCCGACGGCGCCTCCCGCCTCGGCGCCCCCGCCCCTCGCGCGCTGTAGGCGAGAGTCGGCGGCCTCTGCCGGGGAGGCGCCCGAGCTTTCCGGGGCGGCTGCCCGCCTGTGCGTCCCTTCCGCCCTCGGCGCGACCCTGCGTCCGCCCGGCGCCGCCGCGTCCGTTTGGGAGCTTCTGGGCGCCTCCCCGCGCCCCCCACCACCCCCGCGGCTCGCGCCCAGCGCCCCTCTCCCACTGACCTCCAGGGGGCGCCCGGCCGGCTGCGCGGGCCGAGCTCCGGGTCCTGGCCGCTTGCACCTGCTGCTCGCCTGCCCGCCTGCCCGTCTGTCTGGGCGTCTCCGGGCGGCGACTGGCTGCCCGGTGTTCCCAAGGGCACAACGTGCATCGTGGCTGTGGCTGGGGTGTCTGGCGCCGTGTCTTCAGCCACTGTCCAAGGGCAGAGGGGTATCGAGCTGTCTCTGCCCAGTCTGCCCACTGGAGAGTTGCAGGGGAGCACCTGCGTATGACACGGGGTGTTTCACAAAGAGCCCGCCTCAGTGGACACCACTAGCTCGAATTTACATCCAGCTTGCTGAACCACGGAGAGCCGGTGTTTCCGGTCCCTGCTCCGGGGCTTGGTTTCCCCGTGGTGGTGGTGGAGCTCCTCTTGGTCCTGATGGTCCGTCGTCTTCATCTTCTCCTGCACCCCCCACCCCCCAGGGAAGCTGAGCGAGGCAGCCCCCCTGCAAAGACTGTGTGAGGGAAGCACACGGGGGATCTTCTTCCCGTGGAAGGAGCTGGGTAAGGAAGAGCCTTTCGTTCATTCCCCCAGGACTGTCTCAGACAACCTGGCACACATCCAGGGGCAGAGCACGGTGCCAGGCTGCTCCCTGGGACTGGCTTCCCCGGCCGCCCCTGAGGAGCTAGTGTTAGGTGTACTTACTAATAAACAGTGGCAGGAAGCTACCCGTGGCCTTTGATTGGATACATAGATAAACCAAGCGAGGCTTGGTGGAAACCAGATACTCCTGTGTTGGGCTGGTGGGTGGGGGGTCCCCTTAAGGTTTTGTCCTGTTCTCTGGCCCAGGTTGCCCCCGGGGCACACACCCAGGCTGGCTGGTTTGCAAATGGGGATGCTGCTGGGAGAATCAGGTCAAGTCTGAAGATGTGTGATGTGGCTGGAAACCACCCTCCAGGCTTGCGTACCAGACCCTGACTCTCATCTGTGTGGGTCAGCCACAGGAGACCCCTGGTCATTTGGCCTATCGTTCTTTTTTCTTTCTTTTCTGTTCCCCCACGTGCATGAGTCCCACCCAGGATGGCTCACGGAGGTGAACACCAGAAAAGATTCTGAGCTTCTGGCCACAGCCCATCTTTACGTAGAGATTCATCAACGTTGTCCCTGTTCTCAACTGAGTCCCCCGCTTGCCTTCTGTGTTTCTGTTGACGGCACAGCTGAGCCGCCATTCGCGACCCCTCTCCCCTCATCCCCTCTACCCAGATCCTGGGGGCTCTGCCTCTGCAGGTGTTTCTCTCCTCCATCCACATGCCTGCTTCTCCCTCTTCTCCCCTGAGCAGCACGTGGCCGCTTGCTCTGCCCCTGCCCGCTGTCTTCCCCACCCTAAGGTATAAGCAAACCCAGCTACCTCGCTCCCCACGCCTCCTCGCGCCTCCTCCCGGCCTCGTCTCCCTGATCTGCTCCACACATGCAGGCTCCCACCATCACCGTTCTAAAAGACAGTTTGGCGTCATTACCTCCCTTGAGATCCCACCGTGGTTCCCCAAGGCCTTTCACACGAACCGTGCCCCTTAGCCTGGAGTCCCGGCCTTCCCCGGCTCATCTTTGGCCCGTGCCCTCGTCCCACCCCTGTTCTGGCCGTGCTCTATCATGGGCAGCCTTCTGGATGGGCTGCTCCCTTCCGTCAACCCTGGCTTTGTTCTTGTCTGTCTGTCCTGGAGGTCTGTCCTTCACTTACTTGTCTGGTGGGCAGCACAGACAAATTGCTTCTTCAAAGCCTCCTCTTACATGTCCTTTCCCCCTTTTCTGGCTTTTCTGAGTTCTTGAGATCTTCAGTCACATACCTGAAGCTTCTAGTGGGCAAAAGCTCCCCTCTGAGGAGGCCACGGCTCCTCTCTCATATGTTGTCATCCATGACCGCTATTTGCACAAACCAATGGTATTTTCAAACAGGGATCTGTGATGTTTTCCTCCTCCTCCCTCCATACTCGCCTGCAGCTAGAATCAATGCTTTTGATGAGCCCTGAGTGCTTTTCAAGCCCTGTGACCCTCTGGGGCCTCAGGGACCTAAGTCCACCCCTGCTTTTGAGGGGCTGTGGCTACTTCTAGCTCAGGAGGGAAAATGAAAGGGCCCCTGGGACACAAGACATCCACTGAGGACTTTCCCTTCTTGCTGTCATCCCTCTCAGCACCCTGGACTTTCCAGAAGATGTCCCTCTGTGCAACCGTGTTTCTCTATTTCCCTGTGGATTTGTCCGTTCTTGTCTCTCCCGTGGACGTCCAAGCTCCCGGAGAGCAGAGTCGGCGTCTGCTTGCTCGTCACTCTGCGGTCGGTATCCGGCTCAGTGCTGGGTGTAGACCTCAGAGCTCAGCCCTTTCTGCCTGCCTGCCAGTGAGCTCCCTAGAGACCCGTCCCTGTCCACCATGATGTTTCCATGCCATAGGCCCTTAGCACGTGGAGGTGGCGGCTCCTGGATCTCTGGTTCTGGAAATCAAGGAAGAGCCATAGGGGGTGCTGGTCTGACCCTGGGGGATGACCGGTAGTCAATTTTGCCTCGCCCGACGGTCCTGCTGAGGGCACCCGCTACCACTTAGGTCAGTCCAAAACGTGCCCAGACATTGCCAAACGTCCTGTCGGGGGCAAAATCACCCCCAGTTGAAACCACAGCTCTCCGGGCAGCTCTGGGGCCCGCGTCCTCACACGGTGAGGCGCCTGTCACAGGAGACAATACAGAGCGAGACACCTGGGGTGTGGGCGCCCTTTGCTCAGATGGCAAGGCCAGGCAGGGGGCAGAAACCCAGCCGGCCCACTCCTCTTCCTAGGACTCAGGCATTGCCCCCTCTCTCTGTGCCTCACGTGGCGCATCGGTGACTTGGGGACTGAAGATGGGCCTGTTGTGAAGGTCAGGCACTGGATAAGTAGGTCCCACGATGAGTATTTTTTTTTAAATAGAGATTTTATTTATTTGACACAGAGAGAGCTAGTGAGAGAGAGAACACAAGCAGGGGTAGGGGGAGAGGGAGAAAGAAACAGACTTGCTGAGCAGGGAGCCAATGTGGGGCTCCATCCCAGGATGCTGGGACCATGACCTGAGCCGGAGGCAGACGCTTAACCAACTGAGCCACCAAGGCGCCCCCCACGTATTAAAGTCTGGCCACAGTGGCAACTTCATATTGTTTTTCGTTTGGTCACAAAGGGTGGCTGACCCTGGGTCCCTCCCCAGTAAGATTCTAAACTCAGGCAAGTTTTTAAAGGGCACTTTGGGTCACTGTTAGGACTACTCGACACCCACAGAATGCATGGTGGTTGGGGGACTTTAGGTGCACAGCTGGCTCTGAGGAGACCTCTTGGCTTTGGACGTTTCTGGTAATGGTCACTGAGTGCACTGCTGTACCACGGTCCCTGCTGTCGCCATGGGCCCTGCATGTGCCTGCCAGGCAGGGCGGAGACTGCATGTCTGAGCTCCTGTCCCTACTCTGCCCTGTGCTAGCTCTGTGACCCAGGCCAGTCTCCCCACTTCTCCTGGAATCTGATTGTTCCTCTGGAGAGTAGGGGCAATCAAAGAACAAGCCTTCCAGGGATTCTGTACAAAGAATTAGATGAGAGAACACGGAAAGCTCTCGGCACAGGACGTACAATGAGCACTCGCTGTTAGCACTGTTATTAATTTAATTTTGTAAGAATTAAGAGAGTGGAAAGCTTGCAGGCAAACAGCTATAATCGAACTCGTTCGTGCATCTCCTCCCTGAGGTAAACATGCCAGGGCAGGGGGGTGGGGGCGTTGCCCAGAAACATTTTAGAAGCGGACGGACCATGTTTCTGAGTTGTAGGAGAGGGGAGGTTCAGAAAGGGAGAAGGAGAAGCCCCTCTCCCCGTTCACAGGTCTTTCTGAGGCTTCGCCACGGCTGAGGCAAGCCCACGTGGAAAAGGTCTGCAGGCTTCACAGGAAAATGACTGCCCGAAAAGCCCTGCGGGGAGCTGAACCCAAGGGAACAGGCAGGGCCTGGCTGAAAGACAGGGTGTGCTCGACTGGCTGAGAGGAGGGGTCCCCAGCTCCGCCCTGCCCCTTCCCTCCCTCCAGCAGGTCCCGTAGGACTGGGCTCAGAGGGTCAATGGGGGCCCACCCTTTGTGGGGTGTCGGGTCGGGTCAGGGCCCCTCTGCTCCCCCAGCCCTCCCTCTGTTGATGCTTTAAGGGAGGCGCTCAGTACCCACTTGCGAAGCCAGCGCTGTGCCAGGAAACGGAGGGAAACGGGGGTGCAGGGCGAGTGGGGCTGCGGGCAAGGCTGGCCTGGCCCTTCTAGGCCGGAGTCTCGGCACGGTTGTCTTCTTCCTCCCCTTGATCCTCTCCTTCCATCTCCTCATCTGCCTCCAGACCCTGATGTGTCTGCAGAAACAGTGCAGAATCACTGTGGGGGTGGGGGCAGGGTTCCCCTGCACCCTGGGAAGTTAATCCCCTGAGGCCAAAACAGCCCACTGGTGGAGGCCTGGGCTGCTGGGTGCTCAGGAGACCGCTACCAGCTCCGTGGCCTCGAGGGCCTAGTGGGTGCTCCACGCTGGCGGGTGCAGAAGGCGGGCAAGGTCTAGGGCATCTGA